GTCGATTTTGTATGGGGGAAAATAAAAGGCATTTGATGGTATTGTAATAGTTATATCATGTTGTCTTAGGTCGAAGCCAATAATAATTGGCCAGGAAAGATAAATTTAAGACATACATATCTTTAGCCCGCGCAATTGAATCAAAGTTTATGAATTTTGAAAATGAAATTTGACCTGGTAATATATAGGGAACACGTTAATTGTTATAAACAAGACGATAATATCAAATTAAAGTTTATTAAATTTAGTATCTCACGTTCATATATTATTTTTCAATAAGACTGCAAGTTATCGAGATATTTAGAAAAACTTATAACAACGATAGTTTTCCTGTATGAGTTTTCGATTCTTCATTACTTGAGTAACCAAGTGAAAATGTAAACAAATGAGACGAGATTTATTTCAAACATTTTTGGTTTTCGGATTTTTAGGTGTATAATTTTTAAGGGACCATGGTCTCGATCACACCGATTTGGTCAGATTTCCAAATCGTGGTGAATGAAGTCAATATTTTGAGACTATATGATACATTAACAAAATACAATTGGGTGATATTTAGATATAAATATTTTAGTTAATTCCATTTTGTTGAAAAAGGACTGCTGGGAAATCCTTTTAAGGACTCTTCAATTCAACGAAAGTCACTCCCTGGCATACTTTTCTGTAATAGCTTCCTTATATTTCGAAGTTATTTATACAATTGAACAGACATTTTTGTCGAAAAAAACTGAGATGCGTTTAATATTTTCGATATAATTTTAGCAAATATTACTCGATCGGTACGTAGTAATTACCTAATTGAAGGAGAGACTTACTGTTACTGATTTATGATAATAATAAGATGAAAATCGTTCAAATTAAAACAAAATTATTGAAAAAAAAATTTTTGAACAAAAACTCCTGCCAACTTCCTCTAATTGTAATTTCTGTATTGTAATTAGTGTTTCTTCAATTTGTGCTAGTTCAGTGTTTTCACACACATTTGCATAAACAAAATTGTTCCACGGTGATGGAAAATAAAATTTTCGTATTATCGTCCAGAAATTTTTCCTAAATTTGTAAAAATTCGGAAACTATAGCTAATATTAAAAAAAGAAGATTAGTGTATTTGAAACTAGTGACCTAAATACAAATCTTTACATCTTTTGAGCAGAAAAATTACACATTTTAAAAATATACATATTTTATTCTTTATTATTTATTTATCAATTTCGCCATGGAATTATATCGAAAGGCGTAGGTCGCTAAGCGCTATCGTGCGGTGGATGAAACTGTAGTAATAGCACGTAAAGAGCCAAAACTTTCGAAGTATGTACTCGATCATTTGCTGTGAAGTGGCGTCAATTCACGTTGACTAAAGTAGTTCGCAAATGAGCAACAAACCCAGTATGCGCCTTTGTAATATACAGACGCTGGCTGGTTCAGGGATGCATAAGTTGCTTGTAACTGTACAAGACTGTGATCGCTAAAATTAGTTTGTGTTTACCCAGGAGCTCGCGTAAAAGTTGTTGAAGTACGAGATATCCCATTACGACTCGCAGTATTCCAAATTTGGAAAGAAAGGTACAAAATCAAATATCTTCAGAGCGAGAAATAGCGAAATCAATGTACCGATGTTTTAAAGCCTTTTAGATGGAGATTTCGGAAAAATTGTGTCTTTTGAAAGGAAAATTACCTTGGTCTATAAAAAAAAAAAAACATTTTTAGGTCAATTTATGAAAAACTGTTCATTCAATCAGACCTTTAAAATTACTTTAAAGGTATAATTTTTGATTTTTTACCTAAAACGATCAAGTTAAAAGAAACAAAAACGAAATGCTTTTTTCGGTTCTTGCGACAAAAGAATTGGATTCCTTGACGCAATAGCAGCAAAAATTAGTGTTTAAAACTTTTGAAAAGTTCCTTGCATACTGGTTTCAGGCAAAAAAAAAAAAATTAATAACTGTAAACCTATTTGTGAAGGTCATTTTGAAGGTCAAGGTAATTCTTTTATCCTCCAAGACTCATTTTCCTGAATTTTCCATTCTATCATTTCCAATCTTTAAAATACTGTTACATTTATTTCGTTATCCTTTCTCGTTCACAAGATGTTTGATTTTATTCCTTTTTATACAAAATAGAACACTGCGCGACTTAGGGGAAAGAATGGGGTGCCACAGACCCAGAAGAAATTTTGGATATGCATCAAGAGACAATCCAGTTGGCCTTGCTTCTCAACAACGAAAGCTTAGAAATTATAGCTAATAGCAACACACGGTTAACTAAGGCTTCGGGACAAAGGCGACATTGAATTTTTGATCAGTTTAAGGGCATTCAAGGAAAATGAAGAGCCACCTAGCGACCACACACGGCTGAGCATTTTAGTATCTATAACTTTTTAATCAAAAGTTCAACTTGAAGTGGGCTTGACTTTCTGAGATCATTCAGCAATGAAACTTTATATATACGTTTTTTAGGCCAAAAGAAAGACAGTTTAGGAATAAAAAATGTACCACTTTTTTTCTGGGACACCTTAATGTGCATTTATTAGGCATACTTTGGCCAAAAGGAAAAAAATTCAGTGGGAAGAAGTGATACTAGTGTGATAAGCTCGAACGCGATTTTTCCTAAATTTTAAATTTTTTTTAGTAAGCGCCCCGTAATTTTTTGAGGTTGTTCCTAATATAAGTTTTGATAGTGCGGAAAATTTATTATTTCAGTTTTTGTCTTAAGAGGGGAAATACATTTTTCATATGCGCAGATTTTTATAAAAATTACCTACTAATATCTAAAATGTTTTGTCTTTTTTCACCACTCTCTCATCACCATGTTTTTTTTGCCAACTTTCACTAAAGTGAGATGATAGTTTTTCGCTGTTTTTTTTTTGTGCAAAACATATGCATTTGTTAAACTAAAATTGGAAAATAATAAAATTTCATAAGTCAAGGTTTTAGAAGTACATACTCGTAAACGGACTAAACAATTTGTTGGATTGGATGAGAACGAAAAGTGACACTGAAGTTGGCACTACGCAAAAACCGGTTAGTATCCAAACCAAATTTGACAAGGGATGATGGAAATTTGTTAAAAAATACATGAGCTAAAAAATGCTCAGGACAGAGAACCGTAATCAACTCTCGGATACATATGTACAAACATACAAAAGTATATATACAAATAATAATGTTTGGCAATGTACAAACTCCAAGTGTTTATCAGGTTATCTGGTTAAAAATTATTATTCGATAGTGTATTTTATGATTGTTAATTCAACCAAAAAAATAACAACATAATTTGATAATGATTTAAATTCTTTCAAAGCCTGGTAGAGACCCCTAAAAATTATTTTTGAATTTTGAAATTTTCGTGGATGCCTTGGCGCTCCATATAAAATTTAGATATTGATACTTTTTAAGGATTACCCTAATGTACATACATACACTCGGCGACACCTGATTACCTTCACTTACATTTTCTTAATAAATAGTTTCCATTTTACACGGCTTTCGCAAAAAATTTGTATGCGGAGAGGCCGCGATTACCACCACATATACTTTTCAGTGCCAGTATTAAAAAAAATTAGTAACGGTAATCAACAAACGTCGATTTTCTTGCACGTGAGAGGCTTGATTATCCTCACTTACTACTAAAACTATGCAAATTTTTTGTTATGCATATTACATACTTATAACTTCCAAGAAGTCTGTTTGGCAGTAAATATTATAAATGTTGAATAAAATTACATACTTTATAGTGAAATGAGTGCAATCTACATACATATATTATATCAATAAGTGCTGATGTGGAGTGGTACTGCGTCAGCTTTGCCACGTATCACTCGCGACAACCATCCCCTTACATTATCAATGATGTCTAAGTCTGAGGAAAATGAATGAACCTGATTATTTTTTCCCCAAACCACTGCTGAATCCTTCTCTCTGTACGAATGGCAGCGTTGTGCTGCTGAAAAATTTACTCTTGGTTGTTGAACATTTCATCAAAGTTAATTTCTTCGGTTTTCAACAGTTCGATGTAATTATTTGCATTTTGTCGAAACTCCAGAAGTCGTAAATTTATTCCCAAGTAATAAGGAATTGCTGTCATACCATCACCGAACCAACTGAACTGTGTCGTCGGTACAAATACCGCTCCGACGTTCTCAAATCGTGAAAATAGTGTTGGACACCATCCGAACCGTCAAAATCGAACATACGTACCTACGCAGGTAGAAGCATAGTCCAAACGCGCGTACGTGGCGTTGAAGCAAATATGGTTTATTTTGCATGCGCTGTTATTATTCGTTGGATGATCTGTTGGATGGTGCAACTCCTACATTTGTCCTCTTTGTATGGCAGTTGACGAAGTATTCGACGATTCTCGCAAAACTGCGTGTTGTTCCCTCAACGTGGTTCTTCCATAGTTTTTCATATATTTCAACAATTTATTCATGTGCAATTCCACGGTTGGTCAGATTACTTTCCTTCAGGCCAAGGATTTTACCCCTCTCTCTCCAAATCCGTTTTACCACTATTGAAAAAACTCGCCCAAATTATTATTACGCACTTTAGTATACCGTATGACTGCAATGTAAAAATTATCCTAAATACATTTTCTTCAAAGGCTACTATGGGACAATTGAAGTGAATGTGATCAAGTGTTGCGCTTGTAGGTGCGCAAAATAGCAGAAAAGAGCTATTTACCGTTAACATGAGCAGGTGCTTAGAATGTTGTCACAGGAAAATTGTTGCATCGTTAGTTGCCACTTAGAATGCACCCAAAAAAAAATCTTAAAAACTTAAGTGAGGTTAATCAAGTGTCACGAAGTGTACATATGCAGTGTGGAAAAAATTAATAGAGACAAATTGTGGCTTTTTTTCTTTTGTTTATTTATCTAATATATATATTTTTTTATTAAATTATCTAAGAAGCCCAAAGTCCAAATTTAACACTTTGTACAAAAACTAGAAAAATTCGACAAAGGTTCATCAAAAGATCAAACTCTTTAAGGCGAATTTTTAGAAAAAAATTTGGTATGCATTTTCTTCATAATATGTTCGACAATTGTTTTTTTTGTCTGCAGAAAAATAAAACCACCGTCTTCATAAATAGTAAAACATAATGTAGGTTGGTAAATAAAAGGTAGGCTGGTATTGAAAATGGGCGAAGTCGGACGAGTACTAAGCTCGCCTCCCATATAACGGTAAATGCAAGTAAATGGGTTCAAATGACTTTATAACTTTAAATTTCATATTCAGATGGCGAAAAAAGTTTATGAAAACGCGCAACGAGAGATAACTGAAAAAAATTAAATAAAAATTTAATCAAATGTGTATTATTAGTTAAAATATTAAAGTGCCACGTCCGAATGTTACGTCCGTTATCACATTCTAATTCAAAATAAAACCAACAACGAATTGCTTCTATTAAATATAAATGGGTTGTAACGGTGTATATATATAAGTGACTTACGTTTTCCTATGATTTATTTTATTCTAGGGTCGTACGATTGTGACGTCCGACATCATGCAAACACGCATATGTAAGGGTTAATGTTTTTTTCAGCACAATTTTTTTTTCTTTCTAAAACTTCCCTCCTGGAACTTTTTGTACCAAATTTTGACAAAAACGATATTTTTCTTGGATTTCACTATTCCTCATCATCTCCTCATAGGTATATTTATTTTTAAAAAAGTCATATGCCTAATGTACAAACTTAATTCACTGTGTACACAAAGTAAATAGAAATATGAAAGCTGTCATCATTGCTAAAGGCCCTAGAACTTTGCGAGTTGACAAAATATACCAGTAAATCTCCTCCTTTTAAGCTTGAATATAAAGGTTCATAGGCAGGCAAATACAAAAATATGTACATACATACATATGAAGTTAAATAACTGATTATTACAAAATAATGTGTGTTTCATCCTAAAATAGAGCAAGAAAAAATTAATTTAAGTACAATTTTGCTTTCGATACTTTATCCTAAAAAACTTTAACCATCAAACTAAGAAAGAGTTAATTTTTAGGAATGACAAAAGTTAAAGGAAGTGAAACATTGGCGTGCAACTCCTACCAAAGCTGAGCTGATTAAGCACTGCAAGTTAAAGTCTACGAGATATTTTGGCGATATTTCAAAAGTGAACTATTTTTTACCATTTAACTTATAAAATTCACTTGCATCTACATATGTATATTTTTTTTATAATATTTCCTTTTAGAAAATTAGAAAACTTCCATTTTTATAGCATTTCTAAATAAGTATTCTAACTGATTTAAATTCTTCAACGCAAAGCTTCCACATCTTTACGGCTCGTTGCAGGCGACGCATTATGCGCTTCACTACGCCTCTCATTCGTGGGCAGCGTCGTCGCCGCCGACGCTTCACACTCATCGTCGCGCGTTGTACCCATCAACTCGTTGCGCTCATCGTCGATTTGAATTTTGTGATGAGAGATTTTGCGCGCATGTGCGTGTTTCAAGTGTAAGGCTGCCGCTGCCGCGCCGCCGCCGCCATGCGCTGGCGTTGACGCATTACTGCTGCACGCAGTGCTACCGCCCAGCTCATTGCGTTCATTGCTCGTGCAGAGCGTGTAATTTAAGTCTTTGGAGTTGGTACGCCGATGGCGTAGTATACTTAACGCCGCCTCGGCGACATTGTGCGCTGCGCCAACCACACCACCACCACCACCACCACCACCACCGCCGCCGCCGACACTACCGCCAATCGCGTTTGCACTACTACTCGACGTTGCAGTTGTGCGTATGTTCAAGTCCTTTGAATTATTGCGTGAATGGCCGCGTGAGCTGACCGCTGTTGCTGCCGCTTCCAGTTCATTTGAATTCTTCACGCGATTCTCTTCTCTATTCACATTCTTTAGCACATTCACATTCTTATTCTTATTATTGTGATGATTCCGAAAGAAATCGGCATCAAAACGTATATTATTGGGCATATAAATCTGATCGTAGGAATGATTGCGTGAATGTTTCTTGACGAAATGACCGCAGCCAGTCGTCAGCTCGTCGTCATCCTCCTCGTCCTCTTGCGGCTTGAGCTGATTTTGTATGTAGCGTATATTTAGTGCGCCAACACCGGCATCATCGCGAGAATTTGTGCGTGAATGGGTAAGTTTGTTGCGGAAATCACTATTTAAGTCGCTGGAATTATTGCGGGAATGTGTTTGAAACCGTTTTAAGCTCTTGATCTTCATGGGCTCATGTAAGCCAGCGTCTGTTGTAGCAGGACCTGTTGTGATATTTTGATCCTTAGAGAAGCTGCGTATCATTTTGACATCACACGATGCGCTGCGGAAGTGCTTTTTTGATTTAGTTTGTGGTGTTGAAAGACCCGACGAGTTGATGGCATTATTGCACTTGTCATAGCTGGGGGAGAGAAACGAAGAAGAGATTTAAAACAAATATTTTTTTCTAATAAAAATACGTACCCATATTCCAATTGTATAGTGCGTGAATCGTTTCTGGAGTGCCTCACGACATCCGATGTGAGTATAATCTCACCGTTACTTCCATATGTTGGATTCGTCTCATTTGTCGCCAATTTCTCTTCGAATACTGTAGCGTAAAATAAATAAATTTTTGTTATCTTTAGGAACGTTCAGTTATTTTCTTGGGATACTACTTACATTTATCCAAACTAATTATAGATCCGATTATCGGATCATTCGCGCTGATAGGCTTTAATTTCTCTAGCTGCTTTCTTCGCCGCACCAACCACCAATCAGCGATGAATATTGCAAGAGCAACGATCTTTACAGTTGCGCAGAGACCAACATATCTGAAATTTACAATATAAAATTTTAATACGATTCATTAATAATATTTGTACAATGCCTTAATGTCTTATAGTCTTACAAACGTAAATAAGGCCATTAATAAGCTTTTCAAGAAAACCTTGTACAGTTCGGTTGTGGCGGTTTCTCCAATTGAGTGGCATAAAGGTGCATATCACAATTCTAAAGTGAAGCGAGGCCAAGCATTAAACGAATGTGTGAAGCCGCGATCTTAAACTCCATATCTAATATAACGCTACAGTAGCTATTATTATTAGCGGTCATTTCTCAAACGGCAGCGCATAGCCTATAATGAATATCGGTTGGTCACCAAATTCCTGTGCAGTGCAAACAAATGGGGTCTTAGTCCCCAATTTATTCGCCGGATATATATTTGCCTTATTTCAAGTGTGGTGCGTTGATGTGATAGCCGAAGGCAGCCTCGGTGGAAAAATGACTGAAAATGCGTAGGAAGGCGTTGCTACCCAACCTGCGAAACTAATCTTCCGGATGCGGTTTCGGTGCATCACCCTTACCGACAGAGCGTTGATAAGCAATTCTGCGTAGCTGAAACCTTCCATGCCGCGAAACGTTGTTGTTGTAGCGGCACTACCAAGCCCCGCATACGTCCATAAATTGTGGTCGTCAAGCTTAACTAACGGTAAGAGGTGGTTGGTGTCGTGGGGGGGTCTCCACGTGCCGGACACTAATTGGGAACCTCGGGGTTGAGTCTAAACAAGTAGCTATTCAGACGTCTACAATATCCTGACCGAAACTGGGCCCGAGTAGTCGAAGCCCCGCGTGTGTAAAAGGTGGGGATTGGGCTTCGATCACGGCATTCATACGTTGGGAGTTGTCGTAGGTGGTGACCGACTCCCTATGAATGTCGTTGATCACTCTTCGGTACGTTTTTTGTTGCTGTATACTCAGCCCTGCTAGGATACTCAGCCCTGCCTAGATCGGCTTGTCACTCAATCGTTGCAACCCGGACTGGGTTGGCATATAGAGACAGGGGCGCTAGTTGAGTTGGGTTTAGGTGGTATTCGAAGAGGTGTCGCGAGTCGTGAGGTGACTCTTCGCGTGCTGGACACTCGTTGGGCACATTTGCATTTATTCTACTCAGGTAGATCGTCGGTACGTAGTCGGGTCCAGTGGTTGTTGTATGAATGTCTGGACCACGTCCATGTTCTCGAAAAGATGCCGTCTGATGTGCCCTGGGCGGAGGCTCTTTTTCAAGCAGGCGTCTGTTGAGATGCTCACGGCTGCGAATAGCATTTGGGCCTTGCTGTATAGGTGGTAATCAGGTGACATCAGAAGGCATCTTATCGCTATCTGAATGCGGCGTTCTGACAAGTCTGAAGCTTCGTTCACTGCCTCCTACTTGTCCCCATCGACCAAGCAGACGCAGCATAGTTTAGAACCGGCCGGCCAATTGCCGTGTATGCTGCCAGTAACGTTTCTTTGTATATTCCCCAGTTGCTACCAGTGAGCGACTTGCGGACCTTATTGCGGCTATGTACTTTATTGGCAATTGCGGTTGTGTGCGCGGATAAGGAAAGCAGGCTGTCAAACTGAACCTCTAAAATTATCGGGTTGTTGACCGTTGGAATTGGTGTGTCATCGATGTGAATGCCTAGATTAAGCCTGACGTCCTTCGTCCAGGTGGTGAAGAAGGTCGCCGTTGATTTCGTGCGGGAGAGGGTTAGGCTCCTTGCAGTGAAGAATTGAGTGAGTTTGGTTGAGGCCACGTTCCGTCTTGGTGGTAACAATACCGCAGTAATAATCTGATTCGATAGCCAGCAGGCATGCCCGTCCGTCTTGACTTGGTAGGATATAAAGATGCCAAAGGCAACGAAAAAGCAGATGCACCAGCCGCAGCTGGTTCGGTGAAGAAATTCACATAATAAGTTATATTTGGTCACAGAAACACTATGACTACTGGCATAGTCACCACACCCGCCGGCCACTACTGGCGTAGGGCTATATGATTTTTAAATGAGTGCCTAATCAGATTTGGTGTAAGGGACTCAACCTAGAAGACGACGAGATTAGGTTCCATATACATTGGAGGATGTCCAGTCTTCGAAAGAATAAAACATGCGTGCTTCGGCAGGAACATCCTTCAAATAATGTATTTGCTTTGTTTGAAAAAAGCGACGTTTCGCCTTGTCGAACTTCAAATAGTTTATGAACTTGGATTGCTCTTTATATGACAAGAGGGAAGCACTTTGCCGAGGTAAAAATGGCAAGCATCTAAGAACCTGCGACAATACATCGCTCACTACAATAAAAAATAACGCAACACACTTACTTATATCTGAATTTCTCGATGTCGTAGATTAAGCAACGTCCACCCTTCTCGCCACATGTTGACTTCCAAAGTAAGCACGTTGAATCAATGAGATTACCAAATAGTATGGGCGCCGGTATGTAACCGAATAAACGGAATATTACAAATTGCATGCCCAGCGCAAAGGAACGCTCCTCCTCCGAAACTGAACGCAAAACAATCATTAGCAATGGCATTTGTGTAGAGGCCACAATGAAGGTCATAAAGAATAGTAATATAAGGAACGGATAAATGGTGCGGCATGGGGTGGCGCATGGACCGGCAGTTGCAACAGGAACCACAGTTACTTCGGCAAAATCTTCGTTGGCATTCAATGCTTGAGCTTGACTGCCGCCAGCGCCCATATAAATGCTGCTCGATATATTCGAGTGAACACCTGTGGAAACGAAACAAAAAAGAAAGGTATTGAAAAATGTCTACTATAGTGTCAAGAAAGAACAACAACTTACAAGCACAATTGGTGTAGTTAGAAGTGGATGAGAATGCAGTGCAGCCCGCATGGCAGGGACTAAAGTACGTCAGCCCATTGTTACCACAAACCGGTTCCACGTCGCTAGTTAGACATTCACAGCCGAAATTGCAGGCCGCTGTGAGATTTACTTGGAATGGTTCGATGATACCATTTTTAGCGCTGCGATAATAGGGAATCGTAGTGCCAGCCATTTTCAGATTATCGCAGCCAAGGAAAAATAGCATAGCGTATAGACCAAGGCAGATGGCATTAGAAATTATAACAAATTGCACCGCACCCTTGGGCTTCAGCTGAAAACGTTTCAATATACAGCCACCTATGAAAATGCCAATACAGGCGCCGGGCACTGCAATGGAACCGGTAAATACACTAGCTTGACTTTTGCCCAAACTGAATTGAGTTTCCAAATATTTTGGCAAGAACACTACAAAACCGGATACAATCCACAACTCCATACACGCGCCCAGGCAAGTCACGATGTAAACGGGGTTGCTGACAAGTCGCAACATGGATTGGGGTATATCTGAAATGATAAGAAGGTTGGTAAGACATACATTTTGACTCGCTTAAATAGTGATGCCACTCGCTACTCACCTTTTATATCCTTCCCATAGCCGGTATCCACTTGCGGTTCGTCATCTTCCTTCGCATTCACGGCCACTATTTCCTTTTTCACTTTACCTGCAGGATCAGTGCCACGTGGAAGACTATTGGAATTATTAGGCACAGCAGGTTGCATCACCGAGCTTTTCCGTATCTTCTTCTTTTCGCTGGTAAGAACCTTAGGAAAAGAGAAGAATGGCACTGCCACAATCAGCAGTAGAACGCCGCATAGCAGGAAACCACCCCACCACATGCCAACCCAGCGTCGATCTCCGGGATCTGGCAAACAAACAAAAGTTGTGAGTACTCTTTCTAGCAAATTCTTTACTTTCAGTCTTACTTATCGATATAATAGTGGACGATAGTGAATCCATGTGAAACGATAATAGGTAAGCACCGAGCAGAAATCCCAAGACCGGACCAAATGCTGCCATACTGTACATACAGCCAATGTACATCGATGAACTTTCTGTCTTAACATGATCATCCACATAAGTAGTACCGAGTGTGAATAGTGGACTACCGCCACAACCCAGCAGGAGTTGTGCAATGACAAAGAGTAACACCGGCCCGAACGTAGACAACTTACCCTCGAGGCAATTATCTTCGCGTAGTGTATGTGGCGCCAATGGTGGATTCGATAGACCACTCGATAGTCTACCCAAATCCATATCTTGGTCACGCACCAGCGCACTACGACATATATTGTCACTGGAATCATTCATTATGGCAACGCCGGGATTTGGTTCACCAGTGAAATGGGGCACCATGAACACAAGCGAGCCTATGCCCATAATGGCGGCACCTGAAAATATATTAGAAGATAGAAAGAGGTTTAGTAAAATATTCGTATCAGATACTAAAGAGTGACTCTATCTTGGGTCGCAAGTTTATTAAGATTTATGTTAACGCCTTTAGGACGAAGGGAAATATATTTCCCAAAAACTTACTCCATCCCTAAGGAAGTTAATTGTTTTTATTAGTTAAAATTTTTTATAAATGTATAAATTTAGCTATTTTTATCATAAAACTTAAATAAAATTTACATATATAGTTTTGTCAAAACTAGAAAAATTTATCATTGTTAGAGTTTTTTTTGCAAATAGGATTTTTTTATAAAAATTTTATGGAAAAAACATTAATTGGAAAACTGAAAGAAATATCTTTCATTAGGGCATGAATGTAGCTACCCGCGCTGTTGATATTTTTCCGTGCCGAAACTAGCACCAGGGTTATTAGAGATGTCATATATTAATAATGTCCAAAGAGAGAAAAGACTAAGGGTTTAGCATAACAGACCGCTTTGTCACACTTTTATATTGACCCTATGTCGGGAAGGAACCAAAGATTGAATGAATGCACATCTATGAATGAAGATCTATGAATGCACATAGATAGATACTCAAGGACCGCAAACCCAGGAAACTTTTCGGGTTCTGCAGACCGTCGTCCAGTTAACTTAATAATGTCTGACCTAATCTCTAAAATTAATGTTATTGAAATGATAATTGCATACACCGACGGTATTGTAATAGCAATCTTCGGTAAACATCTCTTAACATTGGCCGATCTGATTCAAAGATCTCTCAACAGCCTATCACTGTGGTGTAGCAGGCAAGGACCACGATCCAGAAAATAAAGATCGCGCCATTCGCGGACCGCTAGCCCTCTCTACGTCGATTTGACAGCATCCACCCAATCGGCGACGTCATAAAATACTTTTGTTTACATTCACTGTTGCCAACTTGATGCTTTTCGCACCAAATTTATTGAGTATTCAAAACGCGAAAATTTTTGATTTTTGTGCTTAGTGCGTTTTAGGTGCTTTTGTTTTTAGTTTGAAGACATCAAATTAGAAAATCTTAAAAAAAATGGAAGCAAAATTTATAGCCAGAAGAAATCGACCGTTGTGCAAGGAATTGATTTTTATTAATTTGAATCGGCATCCTGACAATAAAATTATGTATTCATATAAAGTCCATAAAATACAACAATAAAAATTTGGTGCTTTTTCAAATTCAAAACTTGGCAACACTGCCTTTTGTTCGATGCTTCCTCTTTTTCTTGTCGAGCTCGTCTTGCTCTCTCATTCTGGTATATTTTGACGTCACGGCCAGTTGCTCTCAGCTCGATTGGCGCAATCTTGTATTCTATCATTCTTGGGCAAGGACTGGGAATCAATCCTGAAAAAAAACGAGCCGTGTACTCTTCACTAGGGGAGTAAACAGGGGTAAATTAAAAAAAAATGGATAAAGTCCAAATGATTGCGTCCACACTTTTAACTGGTGCGATGAGAATAACAATTCGGCAATTCGAATAAACATTCTAAATAAGTGGTCAAATATTTGCTACGGTCACGGTTATGTTCCGGAGCTTCCCGGATTGGTGGACTATGCTTTCCCGAAACCTGCACCCGCTTTACGATTTACGATCCTCCTACCCTGAAGGGAAAAGGGGAAACAAGACGCTGTAAGGAGTGGAGAGTCTATTCACAGATGGCTCAAAACTCGAGGGGAGGGTACGGACTACTGTGGCGTTTTTCAGGTGTAACTGGTAAAGTGTGATATGATACTCTTCCAAGGTGATATCTACATATTCACTGACAGCCAGGTAGCAATAAACAACCTCCATATTAGCCATCTCTTAATGAGTTGGCTGAGTCATTTCGCCCAAAGTTGATATGGGTTACGAGACACTGCGACATATAAAGAAACGGTAAGGCCGATGAACTCCGCGACTTGGAACAAAACATCCTATTGAGGATATAACCGACGAAATAGGAATACCCTTAAAAACTTGCAAGTTACTTATCACAATGAGCCCTGCGCCTGAGTGTGTCTTATAGATAGGGTTCGAAATTTGAGACTTTGGTATCGATACTGAGTACTCATTCTGCCATCGAGCTCACGGTATCGATACTCTAAAAGTATCAGGTAAAAAGTAACGATACTACTTAGTATCGGACTCATTGAAATACGTTGTTTGGGATACTAAAGTTATTTTATTCTTCAATCGTATATCTAGTTATTTCCTAAAACAATAGAGATTTAAAATATTTGATTTTCATTTCATTGCAGAACTTCCTTTCACGTTAGAACTAATTTTAACGTTAAATGTACATACATACATACATATGTATATACCTCACGAATTTCATATTTTATTACGAATTTTCGTAAACTTTTTGGGTATGCATTTTTGTAGCCTATTCAATTTTAGTATAATAATATACAAGTTTGAATTAAAAGTCAACGGTACTAGGCTAGACGTAAAGTTTAATAGGTTACAAAACTGTATACCCAAAAGTTTTATAAAAATTCTGCATTTTCGTGAACTTTGCGTAAACTTGTATGGCCTTATTCATAAAAAATAAATGAAATATGTAAGAAAACGTAATTTTATTAAGCTTTTTAAACCTACTTTATTTTTTATGAATAAGGCCATTAAACTTTAAGTTATTTGGTTTATGTTATGCAACAGACTGGTCAAAGCAACATCGCAAAAATATAGAAAAAAAAAAAAAGGTTTTTCCTAACAGCGGCCGTCCCTCGGCAGGCAATGGCAAACCTCCGAGTGTATTTCTGCCATGAAAAAAAGCTTCTCATAAAAATACAATCGCCGTTCGGAGTCGGCGTTAAACTGTAGGTCCCTCCGCTTTGTGTGACAATATCAAGGCGCACGCCACAAATCGGAGGAGAAGCTCGGCCAAACACTAACATATGTGTAAGCGCCAATCTATTATTATTATTATTATGCAACAGACTACATGAAATTTCAGTTTATTTTAAGTGATAGACAAAGTAAAGAAAATTGGGTTGCCAATGGAAGAAAAAATTTAAAAAGGGTGTTTTTTAAAAAGTTTTCGATACTACGAGTACTTTGCAAAGTATCGAGTAAAATCACCAAATAAGGTATCGAGTATTAAAGTACTCATTTGGGGTAATGATGCTTACTCAATATCGATAGTATCGTTCGAACCCTAGTTATAGACAACCGCGACAACCTAACCTAACCTTACGTGTGCTTAAATGTACATTAATACTAGATTGAAATAACTGCTCTAGATAATCTAGTCACTGGGAACTAGTTGGACGTAGTGGCCGAAGCCTCAGACTTGCCAGAACGCCGCACTGTGGATCATCTGGTTCTGTTTCTCGCAATCGCTTTGAGATCCTTCCAGCTTAACACGAGTTGCCTCGCCCCTCGATCGACTGTTCATCTACGCATTAAAGGGGTTCATTCTAAGGCCTTCTTAGCAATACTGCCGCCTTCTTTACGCATAGTGTGGCCTATGCACTTGCGTTTCTGTCCCGATGACACGGGGCTTCATGTTAGCCCTTCTGAGCAACTGAATTCTCAGAAGGCAGCTGCTTGTTGGATGCTACCGTAGCAAGTATCCTAATAGAAACCGATTGTCATTACCGATTTGTCATTAACCGCCCACTTATACCCACTCAGCTAAAACCCCCATCCCTTTGGTCTGACCCGATCAAAAGAGCACCTGAGCCTGCCGTTGACAACGCTTGATAGACTAGTCGATTTAGACATTGATTAGTAGTGCCGCTACAACAACAACAATCCTACAGGTAAACAAAGATTTTTCAGGACAAAAATCTAAAAAAAATATTATACTAACCTATTCCAATCCACACTGGTATATGACGTCGACTACCCAGATAGCTCACGAATATTACGGTTATCACATTGCCAATCTCATAGCTTGAGGCTATCAGTCCAGAATAACTTGATGGTATCTCGAAACGTTTCTCAATCGTCGTAATAACTGAATTTATGTAACCGGAACTCAAAGCCTGCTGCAGTGTGACTAGAATCGACAATAACAGAACGAACACTTTGATGCGCGCGAATTTTTGTATACGACGCGGCCTATAGTTGAGTATACCACAATCACGTGATTGCAAATCGTCATCATTCTCATATTCAGAATCGTAGAGCATAGCAGTTGCATTATTGTTGCTGCCGGCGCCATTGGAAGCGCCCACAGCAATATTCGCAGACGGTTGCCGGCTGTGGCTCTTCGCCAGAGTCTCGTTGCAACAACCGCCACCCCCGCCGCCTCCACCACTGCCACAGCCGGACGTGGTTTGATGCTGGCTGTTATTGTGTGGGTGCGGATGATGATTATGATGATGGTTGTTCTGATGTGTTGATGGGTGGTAATGATAATTATTGTGACACTTGCAGGTGCTGGCACGCGACAACGCGTTGGCGTTTGTGTTGGTATTATTCGCGCTCGACGCCAAACAGCCGCCGCTGCAACCGGTCAGTTCACCCAAATTGATCTGAGAGTCCTGTGTGGCAGCTTCGACGCTGCTATCATCGCCGCTGGTATTCGTTTCCGAGTACAGGCCCGTCATCTGATACATGGACTCTTGCCGTCTGCAAATAGAAAATAGATAAATAAGTTCATTAAGTACATACATACATACATATATACATGAACGGATGTCATAATGTGTGTGCGCTAACTTAGTCCTGGTTTGTCATAAGGTAGATAATGTATAATCTTGAGCGAAATACTCGCAATACCTAAGCGCTCGATAATCCATGTAAAGCGTTTCGAATATTTGTAATTGATTAAAATGCGCTCCTGTTTGTAATTTCGAGTATTTGTTAATTTCAAGTATTTGTTAATTTCAAAATATACTTTAATGATTTTGGCACTTCAAATGACAGCTACAAATTAACGAGTAAAATTATGCGATTTGGGGTAAGGTTGCTTTGAAAGGGCGAAAATTTTAAATGCAGAAACACATAGAAGAGTTTAAAAGTTGGTTTGTAACGGTTATGGTCCTTATAATTAAAATCAAAACTCAACCGTTTAAATTATACTTCGATCGGATGTAATCGTTATTTTTCGATTTTCAACCAAAAATAATTAGAAATGCAAATCAGTAACATGTATTTTATTAAAAAAAAAGGCTTTAAAGCGGTCATAACAAAAAAATTGAGGTGAAAACCGTATGGTAGTCAGTTACTCTAACGCGCACCACGATATTTGGCATTCAAGCCTGTCGAATAATCGTAGGGAAACGCACCCACCAGGATTATGGGCAGGTGTAGTAGCTCGCCTGATATAACAATTGTAAGCGCTGATCTGATAAACAGCATAAGGCGGTGACCTATGCTGACTCTGGAATCATTCCACACCAACCGACATTCACGTAGGTGAGCGTAAGTTCCGCAGCGTTGTCACTGCAGCTACAGCCTGATTTATTCCAGTAAGATGCATTTCGGGCCCCCGTCCGAATTTTCCCGCTGCAGCGGTTGTCGTAGCCGAGGAGTGTGTTAACCTTCGGCAAGTCGATCCCGGAAATTTCGGTATCATAAATCTCAATACGGAGATTCGGCAACTAGTAAACGCACGTAAGCGAAAGAAGTGGGAAGAGCATCTGAAGGCCTGTAACTTCGCCTCTGGTGTGATAAAAGGTCATTGTACAATCCGATAAAGCGTACAGACAACCCAGTCGAAATCTCCTAACAGCGTTAGGCCTATCTAAGCCATTTGACACCGTCAGTCACTCCATGCTACTAGAAGGCATTGAGGCTTCCTCTCTCCCACAGTGATTCAAACGGTGATCAGCGAATTATCTGAGTGGCCACCATTCGTCAGTCATTTTTAGAGACAAAAAAGCAAACCGAAAAATATTTAACGGGGGGTTTCACAGGGTGGTGTCCTTTTCCCGTTGCTGTTGAATTAAATACTATATATCAAAACTCCCTCAACCACCAGAGGAAGTCTCGACTGTCTCTTATCTTGACGACTGCTCAATAATGGCGTCAGGAATGGAATTGATAACCTGTTCTCGAAAGTAAACGGTTACCTCTCCGAGCTTTCTCGGCTCTTCACTGCAAAGATCCTAATCATCTACCCTATGAAATCCTCGGCAACCCTCTTTACCACCTGGACGAAGGAGGTAAGACTGCAGCTGAGTATTCACGTCGATGGCGAACCAATTTCGACGGTGAATAACTCGAAAATTCTCGGAGTTACCTTCGACACTCTGCTCTCCTTCTCGGCGTATGCAACCGCAATTGTCAACAGAGTACAGAGCGCAAAAAGGTTGCGGCAACATACATAAAAAAAATTCCGACGAGTTGATAACCTCCTTCTTTTTTAACATGAAAGATTATATCAGAAAATAAGGAAGCAAAGGAATCAAATGGTTTCAAGAGCGGGGTTGGCTCCTGTAGAGAAGAAGATGGAAATCTACCCAGAGTACATTTGAGATGTGGGAGGAACGTTTCTCAGCGCTTCCGAATGGCAACACAAGTGGCGCATTTGATGAAGACGAACTCGAAACAATGTATAGGAACGAAGCTTCTGTTTCTCCACTAGACCAAGACGAGGTGAGAACAGTAATAAAGCAGACAACAAAGACCCCGCAGACAATGACATATCGCCTGAGCTGTTCAAAACCGGCGGCGAAGAGCTGGTAGGGCGCATTTACCAGCTACTTATTAAGATTGGAGCCTCGGTGTACTTTGTCCATTTCACAAGAAAGGAGATCCCGCCGTTTGTGCCAATTATCGCGGAATAAGCCTTTTTAATATTGCGTACTAGGTCGTGACGGCGATACTGTGTGAAAGACTGCAGCCCTTCACGAACCAACTGCGCCGACCTTATCAGTGTGGCTTCAGACCTGCTAGATCCTCCATTTACCAGACTTTAACAGCAGGCCAGATTCTGTACAAGACAATCGACAAACACCATATTTCTTAATAATATAATAGATTGGCGCTTACACATATGTTAGTGTTCGGCCGAGCTTCTCCTCCGACTTGTGGCGTGCGCTTTGATGTTGTCACACAAAGCGGAGGGACCTACAGTTTTACGCCGACTCCGAACAGCGATTGTATTTTTATGAGAAGATATTTTTCATGGCAGAAATACACTCGGAGGTTTGCCATTGCCTGCCGAGGGACGACCACTGTTAAGAAAAAACCTTTTTCTATATTTTTTGGGATGATGCTTTGACCAGGGCTTGAACCCAGGTGCTGATGTATGAAAGCGCGCACTGCTTACCACTACACCACAGCGGCCGACATAATTAAGCACATAAATATACAAATATTGCGCTGGCTTAGACATAGATGACGACGCTCCAGTGAAAAGATCCATCGACTCGGCACGTATTCATGAATGGACACCGAAAGAAAGGCAGAAAGACCTCTCCGCACTTGGGATGAACCACTGGCGCAATTCGAGACACAACTGGCGAAGCTTTTTGGTCTCAGCCCAAACCCTCAAATGGTTGCTACAAACCACTAGTCAAACCTGGTAGTACCTACTTTAAAAATCAAAATAACGATTATTTAAATGTTGATAAAATTATCCCTTTTATTACGTACAATCAAGGTGCGGCTGTACTGAGTAGTCAATTCGTGGAAGGGGGTTATCGAGCTCCTGATAGAAAGCATGCCACCATATTTAAATATTAATTTCTTTGCTCTTCGAACTTACGTTTTTTCTTTTGTGGTATTTTGAGGATATGTATACACGTGGTCATACATATTAAACATTGTCGCCGTATTGGAAAACGATTATAAGCAACTTTTTAGACGGGTAGAATAATGATAAAAAAATAAATAAAAAAAACTACGTAGCTCAAAATAAATAAAAAGGCTCACCACGTAATTGAAGCGACCCTGAAAGCCATAAGTACCTACCTTCTGTAAGTACATCAATAAATTTGTATGTATATATTTATACCCAAAAAGGCAAGAAATCGTACCCAAAATATTTAAAATGTATGTACCTATTTGAAATATTTAGGGTATTCACAACGGTGTCGTAAGTGTCGTATTGTTGTATGTCGTAAACTTTAAACGCCTAAAAAATATATTAAGGGGGTTCGCAAAGTACTATCAAAGTCATATTATGAATTTTTGCAGTGTTAAAAAATAGTTGGTTGTCGTTTCAAGTTCTCTAAACATTTATTTAAGCTTTTAAAGTTTACGACATACAACAATACGACAGTTACGACGCCGTTGTGAATCCCTCAATTGATTTTTTGAGTTTCCTTATGAAATTGTTTTGGTATAAAACCTGTGCATGAGGTTTTTACCTAAACAATGTCTCACAGTAAATAAGTAAAAAATTATCAACAGAAATTAAAAGGTTTTGGCCCACAGTGGAATTGAAAGCATCATAAAGTGTAAGCATGCTACCGTGTGTTATTTATTGGTTATCGAGGGAGCTGCGCACGAATTTCTCGAGGCCAAGGCCATTCTACTGTTGGTGGGATGGTCCTCATGCATCTTGAATGCGACATTTCATCGTCATTATCTAAGACTTTCGTAAAACTTAGGGCCATGAAATGCGTATCTTCTCCCTTCTCTTGGTACCCGTGGAGGATTACATCATAACCTGACAACAGGTGTGTGATCGAAATACTTATGGATAGGCGCACAGCAGAACTGTCTCAGCCATAGCTTAGACTAAAATTACAAAATAGAGTTAAGTGTATTATTAAACGCAGTTTTCGACAAAGAAAAATCAAGCTTAATGGAATTCTAGTTCTCGTTGAGTTCACGAAGCGAACGCACCAAAGGAGCGTTCCTCGCATAATTGCTAGTAAGTTTCTTTAAATAAAAGGGATGATAAAAAAGTAGCGTCCTCGTTGGAGTAAGAAATTGAATAGGTTGAAGCAAGGAGGCGCAATCAATTTCACTATTTATAAGACCAAATGTAAAGCACAGGGAGAGGCTAGATAGTCCTTCTGATTTCTAAAGACTAAAGATTTATAAGGAGGAGACGGAAATGATAGAAAGGGATCGGATCGCCAAAATGTACAGATCGAAGAGCGAACTTTAGGAAAACTTTTTGAATAAGCTCAATTCTATCAATTGTGTGAGATCACGATAACGATGTTAACCGAAGATTAATGTCAACCGGGCTTTGAGCAACCCTATCGCGAAGACAATGAGGCAATTCCTGTCGTAGCATTAAACTATGTCTAAAAGCACAATCTTCAAGGTTTATATCCCAACACTTGGATATCGCCGCGTATTCTGTTATCTATACCAGTGACCAGGGCTGCCAACTATCTTTAGCTATGAGGTGCCATATTGAGGATAACAAAGTGCCAAAATGTGCCAAATAGAAAAATAAAAGTGCCAAAAAAGGTGCCATTCTTTTTAATCCTTCCCATTTAGCAATAAAATAAGAACCACATTTCTAAAGCAAAAGTGCAATTTCAAAATAAAATAAACCAGTTGAATAATCTTTAGAAATTAGAAGATTTAAGTTGAGAAAAAGAAGTACACGCAAAGGATTTCGCAAAAATTTATTGAAATATTACTATTTTTGAAAAGTACAATTTTGGCACTTTGTTATTTTATTATGCTTTGTTATTCATTCGTCCTACTTTCTGGTT